TAGAGAACCTGTGGGATATTGTGAAGAGAAAGTTGAGAGACGCAAGACCCAACACTCTGGATGAGCTTAAGGCCGCTATCGAAGCATCCTGGGCCTCCATAACACCTCAGCAGTGCCACAGGCTGATTGCCTCCATGCCACGCCGCATTGAAGCAGTCATTCATGCAAAAGGATTCCCGACCAAGTATTGAGTGCATAACTGAACATGATTATTTGAAGGTTGGTGTTTTTTGTATTAAAAACACTTGTCTTTCATTGGTGGGATGAAATATGCTAATTTTTTGGGACAGGCATTTTGGGTTTTCATGAACTGTATGCCATAATCATCAGTATTAAAACAATTAAAGACCTGAAATATTTCAGTTGGTGTGCAATGAATCTGAAATATATGAAAGTTTCATTTTTATCATTACATTATGGAAAATAATGACCTTTAACACAATATGCTAATTTTTTTAGAAGGACCTGTAAGAGGATCTGTGGTGGAAGTGGTCTCCAGCTACAAGTACTTGGGTGTACACATGAATGACAACCTCAGCTGGAGCAACAACACCACCAGCCTGATCAAGAAAGCTCATCAGAGACTCTACTTCCTCAGACGGCTGAGACGAGCTGGTCTGGGAAGCTCAGTCCTCACCTCCTTCTACAGGTGTGCAGTGGAGAGCACCCTGTGCTCCAGCATCAACGTGTGGCATGGAGGCTGCACAGCTGCAGAAAGAAAAGCTTTGCAGAGAGTGGTGAAGGCTGCACAGAAGATGTTGGAGTCAGTCTCCCCACCATCACAGACATCTACACCTCCAGATGCAGGAAGAGGGCCACCTGCATCATGAAGGACCACACTCAACCAGCACACAAATGCTTTGCCCTGCTCCCCTCAGGCAGGAGGTTGAGGAGCATTAAGTGTAGAACCACTAGACTGAGGAACAGCTTCTACCCTGAGGCTGTTAGACTCATAAATATCTAACCAGAATAATCTCTGTGAAAAATCACATTATGTTGCTGCTGATCAGTTTCATGTTGCTGCTGATCTGTTTCATGTTGATGTGTTCATGCATGCTCATCTGCTCACACAGACTCATGTTCATGTTTGTGCTGCTCTTCGACGTAATGTTTTTATGTTATGAGTGCTTAGTGTATATTTAGTTGATGTTTTTCTTAGTTCATATCTTAGATGTTTTCATTGTTTTTCTTTTACATTTTATTCTTGGATGTAACTGGGACCCTGTTTACTTAATTTCGTTCCACCACATGTACCACATGAGGTGAGAACGACAATAAAGAAACTCTGACTCTAAATTATCTTGAGCGGATCAGAAGTCCTGGACGGGACAAGAGAAAGTTTACAGATATTTATACGTACGTATGAACAGAGTCCGTACCTGTCATTTAATGAAACATCTAAGAAAATGTCTTCTTGTTTTTAGTATTTTACCTTGTTTTATATGGCACCTTGATTTGATGACTTTTATAACATTACTTTGTATTTTAATAGATGTTTATTGTCTGTAATTTATATGCTCATCTAAAACAGGTCTCTTTTGAAAATGTGTCCTTGTGACTCAGTGAGACTAACATGTATAAATAAAGGTTGAATTAATTAAAATAAAATGGAGTGGAGTTGTTTTTGTGTACAAGTTACAACTAAACTCACACAAAATGCCCCTAATTTCACCATTCAACTCAGTTCTTTCAAACATGATCCAGGGGAGCTTGTTTGCTCATTTTATTTGTTGACCAAATGTCTAAAATGTTTATGTTAATTACAAAAAAATATAAATAATTGAAAATATCTGTTCGGTGTTTAGGTAGAATCCAGCGTTCTTCAGTTCTTACTTTAGAACTTGGGCGACTGTGTTTGGTCCGTACCACTGTCCAATGGGCTTTCCCTCTCCGACTCCCATTTGAGCTGCAGCATTAAGGAAGAAAAACTCCTGAGTGGTTCCAGTCGCTCCACTGGACGGGTCTGACGCTCACTACTCACCAATCTGATGGATGGAATAGTAGCTGTCTTTTTTGTCAATGAAGGCATTGAGAATACTGATGTACTCTTCTCTTTGTTTCTGACCTTTGGCCCATCTCCAGTCTGAAAACACAAAGCCAGTCTGACTGAAACAAGTTCTGCCTGGTACAAACGAATCCACTGAAGATTATCTACACACACACACACACACACACACACACACACACACACACACACACACACACACACCTCATGTGATCAAATCTAGAGTCTATTTTACACAAAGCAACGATTAAAGTCTTGAATGTTAAAGATGTCTTACCTCTACCCAGGTGTCTACACACCAAGGCCTCTCCCAGGATCATCTGGCCGCACCGTAACATGCATCCCCATCCTGTGTCTGACGTAGGCCCGGTGCCCCCTGGAACACATTTAGGGGTTTCCTGTGACTAAAAGAAAAAAACCCTCAAGACTTCGACTTGCAAACACAGATGAGTGGTTAGCTCACCGATCGGCGGGAAGTTTTTTCTGTACGTGAACCACAGTCGTGAAGTGACATCTGATAGAATCTCGTCTTTCTCTGCGTTGAGCAGAAATCAACATCAACTTTACTGGATGCAGTTTTTACTAAACTGATTTTAATCCACTACAATATGTACATTTTAAAAGCCCACCTGTAAGTGCATTATATTCTTTCCCTAAGATCCACACAGGCTCCGAGGTCTCAGGAAAATCTTCAAACTCTCCAAATCGAAGTGTGTCGTACGTCAATGTGGCTGCAAAACAAGAGCATAGAGAAGTGAGAAGAAGCAGGACATGATTATTGTTGTTGTTGTTGTTGTGCTTAGTAATGGACTAATTTCTGAGGCTGAAATAGCTGAAGCTATTTGTCAGAGATAAGATGGAGTTTCCATTAGCTGCTGGAAACAAACCCAGTCACTTCCAGAGCGAGTGTTTCTATTCTGTAATCTTTAAAATCACACATTTCTATCTGGTTGTAGTTTACAAGCAAGCTGTCCAAATGCATAAATATTGTATCAAACGTTATAAAAGAAAAATACTGTAATGCTTTTCAAAAATATTTAACTTAAATAATATAATTAGATTTAAAAGTCTTGCTGTTGTCAAAACACTTATTGTTCTTTAAGGTGACAAAGGTTAAAGTGAGATGATATTTTTGTCCCTGTCTCTCTCTCTCTCTGTGTGTGTGTGTGGTGTTAGCATAATAACCCAATGAACCACAGGGCAATTTTTAATAAAACTTCATTACCATTAGATCATTCATCTACAACCGATTAGCTTTAGGAGTCAGTTCAATATGGCTACTCACCCTAACCATAGGAAACAACAAGAAAACAGCCCGTTTTACAGATATTAACCATATTTTGATGTGATAGTAGCAACACATACTCTGAGTCTGAGCACTACTGTGATGCAGAATATTAGATTAAAACTTTGGCATGAACCGTTGTCCCTGTCTGTCTGTTAGCAAAATATCACATGAACCACTTGATGAATTTTAGGGAAACTTAGAATTATTGGATGAAAACCTACAACAAATTACATTGTGGAGACACCTTAATTTAAGACGGCCACCACAGCTAATCTGCACTTATCAACACAAAAACAAATAAAACTCGCCATCCATCCATCCATCTTCTTCTTCCTTTTCGGGTTGCGGGGGTCACTGGTGCCCATATCCAGCAGTCACTGTGAGAGAGGCAAGGACGTACACCCTGGACAGGTCTCCAGTCAATCACAGGGACACATGGAGACAAACAACCATTCACTCTCTCACTCACACCTAGAGACAATTCAGAGTTACCAATCAGACTAACACGCATGTTTTTGGTCTGTGGGAGGAAACTGGAGTACCCGGAGAAAACTCACACATGCACAGAGAGAGCATGGAAACTGGGTGGAGTTTGCATGTTCTCTCCACCCAGAAAGGTCCTTGGACCAGGATTGGAACCGGTGACCTTCTCGCTGAGAGGCAGCAGCTCTACCATCTGCGCCACCGTGCTGCCTCTCATCAAACATATTGAGGTAAAACTTCATGCGGTGGTAGCTGAGTCATTCTCAACACATACTCTGAGCTAAGAGCACCTGAAATCCCATACCGCCATTTTACAAGGTTTAACCAAAACATTTCTCTTTGCCATGGAAGGCAGCGGGTGATATGCATCTTGTCAAGGAACTCTAGGCCTTTAATTTATTGCTGTATTTCAGTAATGTCAGAAAACTTGATTTATAAACTCCACTGTGAATCAGAAGCATTCATAACAATGCTGTAGATGTATTATTAAAGCTTTTTATTGTCAACAAGATCACTATAAAGATGTTTACTCTCAGTTTAGGCTGGAGGTCCAAACACTCATTTCTGATGTCCAGATTATTTCAGAAGTCACATTATGAGACACATCTGCTGCAGCTGAGTGGTTAGAGCCGTCGTCCTCCAACGCAAGAGTTGGGGGTTCGAATCCACCAGCAGTCACATGCTGAAGTGTCCCTGGGCAAGACACTGAACCCCTCAGAGCCTCTGATGTGTGTCCCATCAGTGTATGAATGGTTAAACGAGGAACAGATTGTAAAGAGCTTTGAGGATCTTCATTAGTTAGAAAGGTGCTATATAAGTACAGTCCATGTACCATCTCTAATCAGAAGTTCAGTGTGTGTATACAAATACACACCAGCTGGGGAAAACAAAGGACTTTACCATGGTGCCTGAACGTTTGTACACCCATTATAATACACCTGATCATCATCCCATTGATTGAAAACACCTGACTCTAATTTCACCTTCAAATTAACTGATAATCCTAGAGGTTCACATACTCACAATTGTGTAGTATTGGATCATTTTCTTCAGTAAATAAATGGCCATGTAAGTATAATGTTTTGTCTCATTTGTTTAACTGGGTTCTCTTCATCTACGTTAGGCCTTGTGTAAAAATCTGATGTTTTCTGTCATATTTATGCAGAAATATAGACAATTAAAGGCTTGAGAAACCTTGAAGCACCGCATTAAGTCCTGAACATTGCTCCTACAGAAACAGTCCTCCCTGTCTGCTCAGAGACATTAAGTCCTGAACATTGCTCCTACAGAAACAGTCCTCCCTGTCTGTTCAGAGACATTAAGTCCTGAGCATTGCTCCTACAGAAACAGTCCTCCCTGTCTGTTCAGAGACATTAAGTCCTGAACATTGCTCCTACAGAAACAGTCCTCCCTGTCTGTTCAGAGACATTAAGTCCTGAACATTGCTCCTACAGAAACAGCCTGAACATTGCTCCTACAGAAACAGTCCTCCCTGTCTGTTCAGAGACATTAAGTCCTGAACATTGCTCCTACAGAAACAGTCCTCCCTGTCTGTTCAGAGACATTAAGTCCTGAACATTGCTCCTACAGAAACGGTCCTCCCTGTCTGTTCAGAGACATTAAGTCCTGAACATTGCTCCTACAGAAACAGTCCTTCCTGTCTGTTCAGAGACATTAAGTCCTGAACATTTCTCCTACAGAAACAGTCCTTCCTGTCTGTTCAGAGACATTAAGTCCTGAACATTGCTCCTACAGAAACAGTCCTTCCTGTCTGTTCAGAGACAACACCGAGGCTCGTCCAGAAAGTTTTAAATCTTCAGTCGCCCGGACATCAGCGGTGATTTGTACATTTAAACTCTGCTTTTTGTTACTATAATGAGGAGAAACTGGAAGCAAAATATGCTCCTCTTTACCTCGGTTGCTGGAAATATGAGGAACAAACATTATTAAATGCTAGTGAGATGCTCGCCTTAAGGCGGAACACGAAGTTAAAAGGGAGTCTAAGTTAAAACTTAGAGCAACTTCTTGAGGAAACCCATTTTGAACACATGGTATCCGTCTTGTTGACATTGAGACAGTAACCTGCGTTATATGGTGACACAGGACGCTGTCAGCGCGGAGCTTTCAGACATTTAGCAATCTTAGTTAGCTTTACTCATCACTTTAGCTAGCTAACGTCACCGAGGCTCCTAGCGGCAAGCTTAGCCGCTGCTGTCGAGGCAGAGTGTGGGGAATCAGTATTATTTATTAAATGTTGATGGTAAACATTGTTGTAGTTAGACTGGGCTGTCAGAACAGAGAAAGAAACGTAAACGTACTATAAAATATTGCTTACCTGCATCCATCCCGACGATTTTCACCCTATTTGTTGTTCTCTGCACCCTAATGAGCTGGACCAATGAAAAGAGAGTATCGTGTAAAAGGGCGGGACGTTTTCTCAACATCCAATAATATCTGAGATATAGATCTTATTTTGCCCAGAGCCCAATCCTGATTGGCTAGCGTGTGAGGAAAATAGATTCATGGTCCAACATTTTTCAGTCAGGTCATCTGGACAGTTTCTTTTTTTGTGCTGAAACGTTTCACCTTCGATCCAGAAGGCTTCATCAGTCAAGGAAACACACAACAAAACTGATTCTTCCCCCAAAAGCTTACTCCAAAGTAGAACAAACCAGTTCTGCTTGTGATAAGATGGTCTCTTTGGTACGCCCCCTCCTCCATTGCCGGCCCTCTTCTTTGTTGACAGTCGTGTCAAACTGGTTGAAAACAACAAAGTCCATGCTCAATAATCCAGGTATACAATCCAACATTTTTCAGTCAGGTCATCTGGACAGTTTTATTTTTTATTTTTTTGTGCTGAAAAGATTCATGATGCGTTCATGAAAGTTGGATAAAGTTTACGATAAAATTAATACAGTAAATAGAAATTAAATAGAAATTAAAGTTCTTGTTATTGCCGTTGCTATGAACAAAGACCAATAATTCATCATTAAAAATACAGTATTTTTAACATAGTTCAACTAGATGCAAATGTCAAAATATTTTGTGATGACCACAAAAAAGGTCACATTGTGCATTTTTGTGTTACAGTGGCTAAAGAGTTGAATTTCTATTTTTATCTCTCTCATTTCTGTGTACAGTATTCTGTTTGAAACTTCAAATCTTTTACTATAAAGTTAAAAAAACTGTCATCTCATTAAAGCAGTTCTTGATAACCTGAAAAAAGTTGAATTTGTGTTATTTGCCTTTAAAATTTTGAAATTAAAATACAAGAATAGTATAAAATATAGATTTGCTTTCTGTAAACAAACATAACAGTAGTACTTTAACAAGGTTGAGTCAGGTCCTCTGAATGGATTCTTCTACCACCTGGATTATTGAGCATGCATCAGAACATAATAGCAGTAAGTTCTTGTATAAATATATTATTTTATCACGCACTCAACTGATTAAATGAGACAATGAACTTGACACAAATGCTAATAAACAATTACAGCAGCTAACACCACTTTTCTGCGCATGACACACTTGCTGTGGTTTCAGCTCAAGACAGATGAGTCATTTGGCTTATAGAGACAGAAATTGGATGTAACTAAACATTTATTTAACAATCAAGAACTGATGAGCTTTGACATTAAGTGTTTTTGAGGCACAGCAGAGAGGGATGTTCCAGAAGAGGGAGGCAGAGGCTAGAAGTCCTAAGTCTTCAACTACCAGGTGATGTTAAATAGTCATGAATGCTTCTGTCATCTATTAGCCTTTGCAGATTGAAACTCCAAATATTCACAAGTAACTGTGGAAAACAAAATCTACAGTGAAATTTTTTTTTTTAAAGATTTCATACTGAAAGTGACTCGGGCACATTACCAAATATTAGGAGTCGTATGGCTTATAATAAACTAACCACTAGGGAACACAATCCAGTGTTTCTGTTGTGCTGGTCCCAACCCCGGGTAAATGGTGAGGGCTGTGTCAGGAAGGACATCTGATGTTAAACACTTTTACCAAAACTAATGTGAGTTCATCAAACCATGACAAGACCGGTCGAGGCATGTGTCAAGAGGCAGAGGGAGAAGAGGAAAGTGAAGAATGTAGGACTGAGGATTACAACTCTAAATGTGGGGACAATGACAGGCAAAGGTTGAGAGCTGGCTGACATGATGCAGAGAAGGAAGGTAGATGTTTTATGAGCCCGAGAGACCAAGTGGAAGGGCAACAAGGCTCACAGCATTGGAGCAGGGTTCAAAGAGTTTTACCATGGTGTGGATAGAAAGAGAAATGGAGTAGGGGTGGTCCTGAAGGAGTTGTTGGCAAATAATGTAGTAGAGGTGAAAAGAGTGTCAGATAGGGTGATGTGTCTGAAGTTAGAAGTAGAAGGTCTGATGCTAAACGTTGCTGGTGGTTATGCTCCACAGATTGGATGTGATGTGGAGGATCTGGATGAAGTGATGAGTATTCCCAGGGAGGAGAGTGCTGATTGGAGCAGACCTGAATGGACATGGTGGTGAAGGAGACAGATGAGACAGACAGTGGACGTGGTCTCCAGCTACAAGTACTTGGGTGTGCACCTAAATAACAACCTCAGCTGGAGCAACACCACCAGCCTGATCAAGAAAGCTCATCAGAGACTCTACTTCCTCAGGCGGCCGAGACGAGCTGGTCTGTGAAGCTCAGTCCTCACCTCCTCCTACAGATGTGCAGTGCACCACATGTGATGCGAGTGATCAAACCTACTTGAACTTGAACAATGTGGCACTAATTTCTGGGATAAGTCTATGAAGCAGAACAACTCATGGAGATGTGAATAAAAAAAAACACGTTCAGACCATTTGAAAGACCATTTTTAATGATAAAATCTGTTCTTGTAAATAACTGATCAACTTTAAATATTTTGTAGGCTGCTTAGTGCGACAAGCAATATGAAAGTGAAATTATTCATGGAATAAATTCTACTCACAAACCGTGACTGTATCAAAGTGCAACAAAAACACACGACTAACATTTTGACATAACACAGTCACCCGGTGAGAACAGTGAAGAAGGATCTGATGCTTTAGAAACTCTACACGATGCTTGTACTGACGAGGACCAGTCGGGCTTTTATATTCTTTTCCTCTTGACTTGGTAAAACTGAAATACCCCAAATTTATCACACAATTACAGAGAACGTGCAACTCCATGCACCATAAGGAGCTTAAAAAGGGTTGACCGGTGACCATGTTTGATCGATGTTTGATAAATTGTGATTTTGGGGAGGATTTGCGAACCACTGCATTCTGGTTTTATTTACATTTTCACAACACCCCAACATTTTCAGTACAACAGTCCTGATGGGTTGTCACCAGGAGGACTGCAAGTCACCAAAACAGGTAACACTCTTGGCAATTCAGCAGTTAAAAATAAAAATAAAAATAAAACAGGATAATAGTGTCTTTTTATATCAAAATTGTGGCCAAGTATAAGCATCAACAATAAATAGGTAGAAGATTGTGCAGCGCAGAGTTTAATGTTTGAGAAATGTGTGTGTTCAGTGTTCAAGGCTCAGTGCAGACGAGTGTAAACATGTTTCCCACGCAGTGGATGCCATCATGCTGGTGGTACGTGTCAGTGCTGGGGCGTCCTCTCACATTCCAGCGCGTGACTCCATCTTTCACTTCTCCCTGAGGAGGTACAACACCACAGCCTTCAGGTAGAGTCCGAGGGCGCAGACGGCAGACACCACCCTGTGGGAGTGGAAGCTGGGGTCAGTGTTCACCACGCATTTCGTCAGATCCGCCTGTGAGGGAGAAACACAGAATGAGCTCAGCTTCTGGAACAAAACAATGACGTGTTTGGAGGTGACGCACACAAAGGTGCAGGTGGAGATGGAGGACAAAGACAGGAGAAAAGTGAAACCTCCGTCCCTGCAGTTAAGAGCTCAGATAGCGCAGTCATGCTGTTGTGGGTGGTTTTTTTTTCATGTGCGAGTCACACTGGCGTCAGAAGCATTTGTAATGTGGGAGGGGGGAACATTGGTGGGGGGTCTTCCTCCATAAAATTTTAATAAAGCAGATGCAATTTCTTGCATTCAAATGCATTTTAACATGTTGTTAAACATCTATGTTTACGTACATAAGTAAACACTTGATTCAATAACTATTTTAGAGAACAACAAGAAGTAGCCTGACCAACAGCTCTCCTTGTGTGAATAGAGGACGCTCTGCTTCTCTCATGTATCCTAACCCCCCCCACCCCACCCCACTCCGGTCAACAACTGCTAGCACTAATGTAGCGCTAAGCTAGAGCACAACACAGAGGTGTCACCCCCTCCTCCCCCTGTGAGCATCCTGCCAAGCCAAGAGACCTCGGAGAAACTCTGCGTGTGGAGAGTTGTAACCAGGAAAACCTGGAGTGGACTTTTAGTGGTTTGAGTATTCCATTAACGAAGAAATAAAAACAGTGCTGGATGAACTAATGTTTCATGGTAAAAGTGTGTGTGTGTGTGTGTGTGTGTGTGGGGGGGGGGGGTCCAAACAAATATTTTTTTATTTGCGAGGGGGACACGTCCCCTTCAAATATAACTGATGCAACACTTATGATGAGTCATCACGAAGCTGATTTGATACAACCTGCTGTGTTCCTTAGATATGCACCTCCTTAGATGTTTTATGCTTTTTTTCAGTCATAAATCAATCAGGGTCTGTATAAATTTACGTTCTTTACATATATGACTTTAAAGTCAAAGGGAAATAAGTTTTCCACAAAGTAATACCAATTAAATAAAAATATGTAATGTAAAACAAGTGACAGCACAAATATTCATCTGCTTTAAGTTGAGTGTCCTGATTCAACTCAGAGAAAAGTCCACAGAACGATTTCAAGGTCCTGAACATCCTCAGTTCTGTTAAATCCATCAAGAAATGGAGTGAATATGGGACGTGTGTAAATGCTGAATGAGGAAAGTCACTTTAAAGGGGGTGAATATTTATGCTCCACTTATTTTACAGTACATGACCTATTTTTATTTATTTGCCATTATAATTGATGCCACTTGGACAATGAAGGTTTTGTTTTTAATAAAAGCTGATTCTTATTGACCATGACTGATTTATGACAGCAATAAACCAAAAAACATCCAAGGGTGTGATTACTTTTTTTTTTATAAACACTAACTTTTCCCAACAGAATGGTGGACTGAAATTATTGTTTATAATTTAATTTGATTCAAGATATTTTCCTTCTACATAATGCCATGAGATAGTAGTTGTTGTGATCTAGCACTTTATTAAACAAAAACCTGAATATACATTTCTTTGCAGGAATCCTTCCATCCTGATGGAAAAGGGTTCTTCCAGAATAATTACAAAAAATCCACAGGAACAAAGAATTCACTGATTAATGAGCACAAAAAGGATTCTGATCATAATTTTCCAGTTACCAGATCTTTGCCCAATTTAAAATTATATTCTGTCAATTTTACATGGTTATCCATTTCACAGTACATGGTGATTTACATAGAAATGTATGTTTTTTTTTCCCAAAGAGGCAGCCTGGAAGTCCATAATATTTCTGTCATAACGCAAAATTAACATCAATGTAAAATTTGACAGTAAATAATTGGGTTTGCATAAACTGCTATAAATAATTTGTTTTAAGATGGCAGCAAACCACTTTGGAAATGGCCTTGCTTGGATCATTTTAATGATATAATTAATTATCATATAATAATTATAATTAAAGACCCACTTCCAAAGCAGATCGCTGCCAAATAAAAACAATTCCAATCTTCAACATGTCATGTCCCGTCATGAAAAGGCCACATTTTATTCTTGACATTACTGTCAGCTTCACAAAGCATAAATGTTTTGGCAGTAACATGAAATGGCTGCACTGAAGGAGCGTCACCTGCTGCTGTGATTTGTGTTAGCAAAAACTCACAAGAGCTCTACTGAATGTAAACAAGCGTGAGTGTGAGCTGACGTGATGTTTAGGAGACTGTCGTTTTAAATCTGCAGCTATCCACTTTTAAATCAGCTACATCTGGAGCATCAGTCTGTTCGGCCTTAAACACTTTCTACAAACTGAGGGAGTTCAAATGATCCAGCGGGTAAGATATTATTTATCTATAAGGTTTCCACAAAACCCAACTTGAAAACACTAAATATCTCTTTAAAATCCATTTCAAACTAAACTCAAATGAGGGTGGGTTATTTTAGAACATTTTTATTTCCCTCTATTAGATCGTGAACTGTGTTTAAATCTAGTCTACAAACATGGTACTTTGAGCCTAAAAACTACAAAAACTGTTTCTTCCTCTTCATTTATATAACAAGACGAAGTGGAAAACCACAGAGAACACAGTTCAGTGTCAGCGCTGACTTTAAACTCTTTATTTACAGTTTCTTTCATTCTTTCCACCAAGTGCTCCTGAGTTACATCAAGCTGAAGTTACCTGACCATGAAGAAGTGTGTGGGTTGTTTGGGGGGAGTGAAAACCTCTGAGGTCAGTTACACAACGCAGGGCTGCTCATTTCTCTCACTCCACTTCTCCTCAAAACTGTGCAGCCGTACTTTGTTAACAGTCCACTTTCAGGTGGCTGTCTGCCCGGTGCCAAACAAACTTTTCCTAACTCAGATCTGTTGCTCTTGAGGATCTTATTAGTTTTGTTTAATTTGAGGTTGAGAGGTTACGCTCACACTTTCTTCAAATTACAGAGCAGCAATAGCAAGCTTGAAAGTGTTAGCAGCAATTAAATAAATATTATTTATTATAGGGATGCACAATATTATCGGCATGGTTATCGGTATCCGCCAATTTTAACGATAAAGTTAAATATCGGACATCGGCCATTCCATCAAAATAACTCACCGATACAAAAGGCTTCTGCTTTAAGTGAATTTTTAATTTAAGAAACTGTCAAGTACATCTACTGAAGCACTACTACTTATGCGTTTTTCACTTGTTGCTTACAAACAGGTTGAGTTTAGATTTGTGAAAATATACACATTTGCACTGTTCGAGTGTTGTCATTGTGTTGGAGTAAATGTCATGAATAAATTTGACATTAAACATAATCCAAGTTGAAGTGTTACATCATTTTCAGCCCCTTTTTGGCATCTGCATGTGGACAAACTGACAGAGCATGCAGAATAATGTAGTATTTTAATTCCACAGCAGAGAAAGATATGTAGTCTCTGGAAGTAGGTCTAGGGAAAAAATATTGGTACTGGTATCGGGCAAATACATTTTAACATATCGGCATATCGAATATCAGCCATAAATCCAATATCGTGTATCCCTAGTTCATTACTTTTATTTGTCAAATTTAAGGAGCAGAGAGAGAATTTAGAAACAACAGAAACAGCTCAGCTTAGTGAAGGTTCAAAATGAATGAAAGTAGATTTCTTTGAAGAAATGCATCTCACTGCCCACTTTCAAGTTCATTAAGAGACAAGTGCAAAGTTACCATGTGTTCAGAATGACTCTCAGCTACTACCACACCAAGTCTTCAAGTTCAAGAATCTTTATTATCCCGAGGGGCAATTTGTTTCAGTCAGTAGACACAGAAAACATCCAGACTAGACAAGACATTGAAACGTGAAAACAACAGTACAGAAATTATCAGTGTTTGTTGAGAAGCCTGATCACTACAGGGATGAAGGAGTTTTCAGTCTGTTCCTCCAACATCTGGACAGCAGATATCTGAGTCCAGATGGAATCAACCTGAACGCACCATGGAGTGGATGATCAGGATCTGCCAGAATCAGCCTGGCCTTGTTCACTGACCTTACCTTGTGCAGATCAGTGAGGTTCTGCAGGTCAGTGAGGTTCTGCAGGTCAGTGAGGTTCTGCGGGTCAGTGAGGTTCTGTAGGTCAGTGAGGTTCTGCAGGTCAGTGAGGTTCTCTAGGTCAGTGAGGTTCTGCAGGTCAGTGAGGTTCTGCAGGTCAGTGATGTTCTGTAGGTCAGTGAGGTTCTGCAGGTCAGTGAGGTTCTGTAGGTCAGTGAGGTTCTGCAGGTCAGTGATGTTCTGCAGGTCAGTGAGGTTCTGCAGGTCAGTGATGTTCTGCGGGTCAGTGAGGTTCTGCAGGTCAGTGAGGTTCTGCAGGTCAGTGATGTTCTGCAGGTCAGTGAGGTTCTGTAGGTCAGTGAGGTTCTGCAGGTCAGTGATGTTCTGCAGGTCAGTGAGGTTCTGTAGGTCAGTGAGGTTCTGCAGGTCAGTGATGTTATGCAGGTCAGTGAGGTTCTGCAGGTCAGTGAGGTTCTGCAGGTCAACACCAGCAGTTTTGCTGCACGTCCTGACCAAGTTCTAAACATTTTCTAACATGGTTTCTAAAGCCACTTGGCTGTGGCAGCCATTTTTAGCTGTATTGTCTCCAAAAGTTAATATAAGCACATAATCAGGGTCACATTTTACTTACCCAGCCCCCCCTCTTTTTTAACCAGGAGGTCAGACTCTTGCGGACGAACTCCCCCATGCAGTCCACGATGGTGTGGACCATTGCTTGATGATCGCTGATCACACATTCCTGTGCCAGAGCCCCCGCTACTACGAACAAGGAAACCACCTTCCCCCACGTCACACCTGAGGGGACACAAAGATGTCCTGAAGTCTTACCGAGTCACACTGAGTCCTAGAAATGATTAAAGGGTGACAATTTAGTTAGGCACTTTAAAGGTTTTGCTCAAAAACTAAGAAGAGCTGAATTTAGCTCAGCAACAGTCATTTGGTGACGGATGGATGAATTCATTAAAAAGCCTCAGCGGCCACGCATCAGGCCTGCAGGCCCCTCTGTTCCACAAATAATAAAATAATAGAAAAATATATACATATATATTTATTTATTTTGTTTTTAACAGTGCTGATGTTGAGTGGAGCTTTCTGCTGCCGCATGACTTACAGCCAGCCACAAGTTCAGTGAGCTGTTCAAACAAACAACAGGAGGCCTGGCTCCTCGGACACATCCTCTGTGTCTGAGTCGTCACAACAACATCAGGTTTCTCTCCAAGAGCACAATCTGAAATCAGCTGGACTCTGTTCTTTGAATACAGCTTACTGTATTTGGAAGGTCAGAAAAAGCATGAATATATTAAACAGTTTTTACTCATAAAGCACTTGGGGCCTTCTTAAAATGAGCTACCATATTTTTTGCTGAATAAGTTGCACCTTTTTGCATAAATCTGCAGGTCCTGCGACTTATACAGCGAAGCGACTAATATATGTTTTTTTCCCATATTTATAATTCAATTTTTGGCCGAGATCTGATGATTTCATTCATTCCGACATGGAAAATATTGAACACTACCATTTTCAGCCACTGGAGGGCCCTTGCCAAATATGGCAAGGCAAGTGTCTCATTAATAGGTAAAAGTGGCTATTAATGACACACTTGGCTTGCCATACTAAGACACCTTCGTCTCGCTCTGGAACTCCTGGAGCAAACATCAAATCAGCTGCATTTCACCGCGCCGCCCAGGTGAAATGCAATTGATTTGACCATTGAAGTGCATTTATTAAGTAAAAGTTCAACTGAGCCACACCTTTACTGTAATGTCAAACAAATAAATAATTGTTTTAGGTTTTTATCTTGTTAACTTTCAAAGAAATGTGCAGTGTTCCTCCTTCCGATTCCCCCCGCGCGCTCCCAAAGCACCGAGGCAGTGAATACTTCTGAAATGCAGCTGATTTGATCATCAAAGTGCATTTATTAAGCAAAAGTTACACTAAGACACATCTTTACTATAATTTTGAACAAACAAATAATTGTTTTTAAGTATTAATCTTGTTCAATTCTTGTTAAAGTCCTTCAGTGAACGCTCTTGCGGCCACCATTTGGCACCCAAACACTTTTTGGCACAACACCGGCCCACATTTTCGGGTTGTCACTGGTGACGCGTAACAAACACGACGCAGCAGCGGTGACGCATAATAGATGAGATGTATATGGCAAAGCAACGTATTTATGTATTTTTCCACTTCATTAGACATATTTGGACTGATGCGACTTACAGGCCAGAGCGACGTGTACGGTGGAAAATAATGCTAGGCCTCAGTCAGAAAGGAGGTGGGGGTTGTTTGGTGAGGGTGGAGGTGCGAACAGATGTGGGATGGGAATGTTTTTTTAATGAGACTGCCCATCTTTGCAGGTGTCTCCAGCCTCGATCAGCAGTAATCTGTGGTCTTGCAGGATGCCACACCCTATAGAAGTGAAGAGGCTGATTCCAAAGCTGTGTCTGAAACAACTTGAAATCGTCAAATAAACTAATTTTTTTAAACCAGCTTGCGTTACTTTTCAAAGTTTGCCACAGAATGTAGATATTAATTATAAATATGTTTTGTTGGATGTGTAATGTGAAAAAATTGTGGGTGTTGGACTCTAACTGTCCAACATAAGATGATAAATCTTCTGGCTTGGGCTCTCTAGTAGCTGGTTTAAGATGGTAATTATTATGCATAGTTTTAACAATTCATTTAAACTCCTACAAGAAAACTACAAAAATTGTTTTGGAGATTAAAAAAACACCTCAAGTCAAATTTTGCTGCGTAGCGCCATATTTCGTAACTTTGTTTTGTGTTTCAAAATGTGAGCAGCAGCGTGTTGTGGTGAAAAGCCACTGTTGCCTCACAGCAACACAGTTCAGGTGCTGAACTCATCAACAAGCTGAAGGTCTGAGTCTGGTTGTCTACTGGGGGCCTTTCTGACTGTTTTACCTCCTGAAGAAACAAGAACCACCTGAGACTTGTTACAGCTCAACACCTGATGTGCAGACCTGACTGTACCTAGACACACAACTCGTTAGGGCTGTCAATTAAAATATCACAGTATATGTCAAAGTCAAAATAAGAGCCATCTTCAGTTTCCTACATTGGCACATCTTTTCACAGCAGTGCAGTCACACAGTCCCTCCCTGAACCATCATGGCTGACAATACCAGCACTGAGCTGCAAGCAGAAAACTACCAGAATATGGCGAGTACAACTGGAGAAGCACAGAAAAACTAGATCAAAAGGATTATGAGGTATTTTGTGTTTGTCTAAATTTAACGAGCGGTACGCCGATGGCTGAGGGGTTTGAATAGTGAATGTTTGGACTTTTCGAGATGAGTTTTTTGGGACTAATTGAACAGGGAATGTAAGTAAACCTTAATGTTTTTGGTGTAAGACATGATCAAGTGGTAGGAGTTACACTGTGGAGAAGAACAGAGCTAGGCCTGTTGCAATAAACAATAAATCAATTAATCGCATGATAAATGAAAATTATCAACCTCGTTTTCATTTATCGGCTTTATCGTTTCTTTGTCTCTCTCTTTCTACTGAAGACACTGGATGACAAAAGGCTAGACTCTGGTGATCTTCACTGACCCCTCCCTTTTTCGCTTTTCTTTAAAATCCATTTTAACGATCCAAAATCGCGTTTTTGGATCGTTAAAAGCAGCTAAATTACGAGCTAAGCTACGAGCTAAGCTAACAGGCTGACCTTGGGGTAAAACCTCCGTCTTGTCGAAGCTCCAAAATTCACAGTTGAAACCCATGCCTTTGTGTAAAAAGTTTTTCTCTGCAAAAATAAGCTGAGAACTTGTTTACTGATTGTTTATGAAAAGCTTTGTGTGAAAAATGCTATGTTAAAGAGCTCAAACCACACTGAGCATCTGCCATTTTGAGAACTGAAGAGAGACAGCCCATGTCACGTCAAGGGGCCTCCCTTCCATTTTTCTTAAAGAGACAGCTCACTCCCTCACTATCCATCCTTCGGTTCAGTCTTATACTGCCATCTGGTGGTTGAAAAAAGGTACTACACTCAAAACAAATTAAACATTTCTTCTTAAAATTGACAATTACTAATTATTGTCAAATTTCAAACAATATTATCGTTTATCGCAATAATTTCTGAGACAATTAATCGCCCAGCAAAATTTGTGATCGTGACAGGCCTACACTACACAGAGCCAGTTTTGTTGTTGTTCGTCTCGGGCAATGCAAAGTGATGGATTCTGGCGAGTAGAGGAAGCGATTGTACTCACTATCGGGTGTGACGGCGGAGCCAGGGGGTGGCCAATGGTGGCCTTGGTCACCAGAGATTAATTTTCACTCACCCCAAAGTCCACCTTAATAATTTGAGGAAACTATACTTTTAAGAATTTTAAAAACTAGAAAGCATAGTTCCTCAAATTATTGGAGTGATCAGTTTACATGTAAATATGGAGACGGCCATCTTGGATTTTTATGTAAGAACCCAATTTTCGATGGTGATCTCTCTTTAGCCTAGTGCCAGCTACACAATAAATCGAACTCAGTACCTCACTTATTTGTCAAATTATCAATTTAAGACTGAGTGGTAAGCTAATTGTCTCTAAATCCAGATTGTTTATGAACAACTGAGCAGCAAGCTGCATAGCATTTTTTTTTTTAATACTGGCCTGATCTCATGGGCAAGGCTTGCAACTCTTCTAGGTCTAACAAGTTTATTTGTTGCCCATCTCTGCTCGCGTTGGATTTACCACTCAACCCACGACTGCATTTTTTATTTAATCCACTGGAGTCTGACGAGACAATAAGCAGAGTCAAAACATTTTTTTCATAGCATGGTCAGACCTCACATTTGGGCTGTAGCCTTGGATGGTTTGTCATCAGAAGAGCTCCCATTCAGGTGTCCAAACAGCTCTAGCCCTTTAACACATCAGAAAGTAAGCAGAGAGGAGTCTGAGGATGATCTGAGACCTCTGCGAGGGCTCTGGGATGTTCAAAATTCGAGTGATGAATTTGAGCCTCTGCAGCTCATCGTCATCACAACCTTCTCGTGCTCAGGGCAGCCATATTGGGCCTTGAGAGGTTTCTCCCACTTGGCAATTTTACCCTCCGAGTACAAATGTACCACCATAAAATACAAACGTAAATCATAGCAAGTGTAGCTATAGAGCAATGGCTAACAGGACACATGGGTGACTCTACATCAACACTTGGCTCTGTGCCTGTTGGTTATGACGGAGTACACTCCAAGTTAACAAACGCCAGGAACAGAGACCGGACATGACAGTTGTGATGTTAGGCGAGCTGCGTCGAGGATGTTACAAAGAACTGCAGCAGTTTATCTCTGCAGAGCAGCATGACACTGCTGACCGATCTCATGAAGTATGACACGTCTGTGGTCACAATCTACAGCTTCTCAGGACTTCTCCTTCACAGTGACTTGTCTGGACAGCTGTCTCCAGTTTGTGTCTACATTTATTTTGCCATCGCGGAAGCTGCAGCCTGCATCAGCAGCTCAGCAACTCTCTTAGAAGAAAGAGAAACACATGCCATAGGGGCTTCTAACCATAAGAGGATGTTCATTTAATTAACATCCTTATTTTTCAGACCGAATGTTGCCGAGGATCAGAATAACTGGATTTTTTGAAGATTGACCCTTAATTGTCTTTGCAGCACATCTTCACGTCAACACCCCCCAAGGAAGAAGCCAGCTGGAACTCATCTCTGAACTTCTTGTGTGGGTCCAGAACAGTTTAAAACAATCACAAACTCTGGAAACATTTTGTGCTAATACAGTCAGGATGTTTTTCACCAAAGTTCCTTCTCTGTAAGGAGAT